CCACCCCCGCTCCCTTCCCTTACTCTACTCGCAGTCACGCCTCGCTAAATCAGGCACTGTCGCGGCGGCGTGTATGCAAGATATGTGGTCGTCTCCCGCTCTCTCTCTCTCTCTCTCTCTCTCTCTCTCTCTCTCTCTCTCTCTCTCTCTCTCTCTCTCTCCTCCTCCTCCCCCCTCTCTCTCTCTCCCTCCCTACCTCCCTCTGTCTCCCTCTCTCCATCTCACCATCCTCGCAAAATATGTGTATCCGCGCCAAATTTGTCATAGGCTGACCGGCCGTTAACCATGTGCCGCGCGCTCGTACTAACGTCGCGCGTAAGATTGGAAAGAGGGAGGGGGGGGGGTAGGGCATCCGTCTAATATAATGTTGTTGCTACAACAACCTCCATAAAACGAGGGGTCCACTTCAAACGATGAACGGCGGCGCCGCCTATCCGCCCGCGCTGCAGTTTATACTACGTCCATATTCGCGCGCGCGCGCGAAATTGTCGAAAATAATAGCGTCGTAAATTATTTTTTTTACAGCAGATTTTACTAAGCGACGAGACGCGCAAGCAGAACCACACAACACACGCAGCAAAAGTGGAAATAAAAGCTTGTCGGTAGCAGACCGGCACCCTCCACAGACAGAGTGTATGGCCGCGCAGTTCCGTTTGTGGCAGTGCCGGTGGTTATTACCCCTGTGTCAACTCATTACCCAACTAGCGGCCCTGCAAATAGTGTCGGGCAGCGCAGCGATACCCGCGGCGGCGTGCCGGCGGAGTGGTTGGTACCGCAGTTGTGCGCGCCGGCACGACGGGGCGCCGAAGAGATGTTCATGGACGAAACTTCTCGTCCTTGTCGGGACCGGGCACACACCATCCACCACCACCACCACCGTCACCTCCTTACCCCTTCTTTTGCCTGTTCGCACGTCCAAGTTTTACCCCCGACCCTCCTTACCCTAATAATTCCCACCGCTCAAAACTCCTTCCTGCTGCTGGCTGCTTTCGCGCCCTGTCTTAAATTTCGCGCCTCCCCTTTGCTCCGACATTGCTGCCAGCACCGATCCGCTTAAAGTCCAGCCAGCAGGTGCTGCCAACCTTGCTGAAGCTGTCCGCGCTCGCTCCGCAACTCTCTCGTTATTACTAACGCCATACCCTTTTTAACCGCTCCGCGGTCTTCCCGCCCCTCTCGAGCGATGCTGACAGCCTGCTCCAGCAGGTACCGCACCGGCGCCGTCCGTGGCGCCGTGTGAACGTTATCAATACCCGGCGCCCCAGGGCGATAAAACATTCATTTTACTGCCCCGGCCATTATGTCCTGCGGAATGAGATAACCTGACACATTTTCTTTATGGCGCGATGCAGAGCGAGGGCGGTGCATCTCTCTCTCTCTGTACTGCCGGGACGAGTCTTGTGAGGCAGGCGCGGTGCGGCGGGTGAAGGCAGACTGCAGTAAGAGTGTGCGTTCCCCGACCCGACTCAAAGATAGTGTGTTGGAGTGGTCATGAAAATGGCGGGCGCGGCCCGTGACGGGAAGGTGGATGATGGCAAGGTGTCAGTGTAACGGCATGATGAAATTCATAATAAAAACAGGAAGTCAAGATAACCGACGACGAGAGGGCCTCAGCACCTCACAGTCCCAGAGCAATAACGAGGTGTGGTGTTTTCCAGCAACTCGTGGCCCCCGCATGCCGACGCAGAACTAAAGGTGTGAAAATGATTGAAATTGTCATATTGATTCGCGTTGTTCAAAATTTAAAACTCAACACAAAAAATATATCCGATGATCTCTTTATGTAATCTGTTTTTTTTTCTTTTGTTATAATAGTTAAAGTTCATGGAACCCTAAGATCTTTTTCATT